ATGGCGGCGATGATGATGATGATGATGTTGATAATGATGAATTGATGAGGGTTATGATGATGATGATGATGAGTGGTAAGATGATAATGATCACCATCATTATCTTTTCCTAATTGATTATCAGAGGTATCAGCGACACGCAGGATACACGCTTCACACACACACACACTCACACACACACACACACACACTCACTCACACACACACAGATGACCACGGACATAGAACTACAGGCTGGTTTCATGGAGTTTAAAAAGATGAACTTCTCAGAAGCCCGCAAACTTTTCCAAACTGCCCACCTCGCCCCCATACAGGTTACATTCTCCATTACCTTACTTTTTCTTGAACATTTCATTTTTGATGAGTTTATTTCCCCATAGCTATCACCATTATTATCTGACCCCCATCACAGTCTACTACTCATTATCGCTGTTGCTTAACTTTATCACAATCTGATCATCTTTTTTCAATCATTCCAGTTGATAGCCTTGTATTCCAAACTACTACCTCAAAGTTCGACGGCTGCGGCATCTACAGCGGCCACAACGGCGACAGAAACGACATCTCAGACATTCAGCACAACAGCGACCGCAACATCATCATCATCATCATCAAAAACATCATCATCATCAGTACTCAGCCTAGCATCACCAACGTTTTCACCTTCACCAGACATTTCTGATGTATACGCTTTGTGTGCCGGCGACGTTCATCGGATTGAGAAGTACGAAAGGTTTTTGTTGGATTATTTGAAGGAGGTAGTTGATTTTGACAGCAGCAGCGGCAAGGACGACAACGACGTGGCTACTGACGGCGACTCATTTCAACAGCTGCAACATCGTCCACGGCATCAGCAGCATCAGATGTTTACTGCCGGTACCAATGCATATGTTAGATGCTGTGATTATTTAATGTCTTTGTCTGCTGGGGTCGATGGTGTTGTTAGTTTTGTAGTTCGATTGTTGGTCTTGTTGTTTTTAACGTTATTGTTCACTAAGTTGCTAAAATATTTGATGCATATTAATTAGTCATACTAACATTTGAATGGCCATCTTTACTCTCACACTCCACTACACACGTCATCCTCCATCCGCCTCCTAGTTCATCAACACGGCTCTCGTCAAATTAGTATGCAAGTACGACCCCACCCAACTGCTGTCAATCATAAACAAGTCACGTGATCAGTATGACGTCACGGACTGCGTGAAGTACATTAGGCAGAGTGGCAGGCACCATTACGCCGCATGTGCCCTCGTGAAGTACCACGAGTCTACTGCAACGAGTTCTGCAACGAGTACCGCAACGAGTACCGCAACGAATAATGTTGGCAACTTTAAAAGTGATGGGGATGAGGAGGAAGATGGTGACGTTGGTGTCTGCGGTGGTTACGAGGAGCAGGCGGCTGGCATCTGGAAGAAGTTGTGTGCGGGGGAGTTGATGGATGAGGCCTTCCCCGGCTTCATCTACTTCGTCAACGTCCTCTCCAAGTCTAGCAATATGAAGTTGCTGTGGCGACATGCCGGTTGGTGCCTGCAGAGGGATCAAGGGGCTGCAGTCAAGGTAGGCACTGCTGCTTGTCTCTCGTGATATTATGTTACTATTATTATTAATTATTATTTATTATATTAGTATGTTGTTATATTGTTATGTTAATATTATAAAAATTGATGGCAAAGAAAACATAGGAAAACATAGGCCAAACATAGGAAGTATGTGAAGAATGTGAAGGCGATACCTGGTATGCTGCAGCATAGTATGGTTGTGATGGATGTGACATCAAAAGAAATGGGGAGCAGGAAGAAGGAAAGACATGGAAGTTGCAGGATGCAGAGGTGAGGAAGGCATTTGAAGTGAAGGTGGCTGAAAATTGGGAGAGTGGTAAGGATGGAGATGTTTGGGAGAGATACAGGGACTGTGTGTTGGCTACAGCAGATAAATTATGTGGATGGACGAAAGGAAAATGTAGACATGGTGAGACGTGGTGGTGGGATGAAGATATAAGAAGGGTTTTGGAGGTCAAGAAGGAGAGGTTTAGGGTATGGAGAAGGGATATGACGGAGGAAGCGGAGTTTGAGTATAAGAAGGCTAGAAGGTGCAA